TTCTACCTATACAACAGAGGTCTGTACATAATCGAGTCTGGACAACACAATCCAGTGCTTGACATCATGAGCACTGACCTACAATACCAAGGTCAACCAAGTCAGCGAGCCTGACCACCCGATCCCGTTAGTCGCCTGTTACGACAAGCTTGAGTTGCTGAAGACCTATTCTACACCGAGGAGGTAGCAGTATCATATGTAAATCACATGTAGAAAGCTTAATGAAGAAGCAGCGATACATCGTGGCCCCGGCAATAGTACGGGCCCGGAATGTGGCATTTCCAAATGAACAGGGTCCGCACTACCGAGGTTTCATTGCCAAATGAGGCAGTACATCACACATAGGCCTACAAACCCTGTGCGAAGTCCAAGCACGTGCGTGATTCAGTGACATTATCATAATATTTAACCATGATTGAACTATTTTATCATTGCAATCAGTCGTTACCTAGGCGCAACAGCAGCTTCATGAGTTGATATATACTACTCAAAAGAAGTTAAAGAACACACGACTATAGCCATGTGAACACATCGGATGTTGTTTAACTTCTTTTGAGCAGTACAGTAACAGTTTGGTAGCTGGACATTGCCAAGAATAAATAGAATTGCTTATCAAAACAAAGACTCGATATATCATTTAACATGGCATATCCACATTAGATCTCGCTACAGAGAACAATGCACTGTTTGCAAATTCACAAATAATAAAAAACATTAAAGAGTTCAATCAAGCTTTATACAAGCAATGTGGCTTCCGCATATGATAAATGATACGAGAGGGACCCCACGAAGAGACAGATTTCTTCCCCAATTAGTGACGTGTCTCTTCGTGTAAGAAACTCTCCAAGAACATTCCCACCTTCCTGCTAGCACGTGCCGCAGTGCCATTGGCACCGTCACCACAAAGGTCACGACCTCCCTGGTCCCGCCCTCTTCAGGGCAGTCGTGGTGTGACAGCATAGCTGAGGATTATCTCCCTTCTTTGTCGCCTTGCGAGTGATTTTTCTTTCTAATGACCTCACATTTTACTGTCCCTCTGAATGCATTTCTCTTTACAAATATCACGTTTACTGATCTAAATAATTGCGGGGATATTAACAAGAAGGTTATCTAGTTAAACCCATCTCATCAACCTTAGTCGGCTAGAATAGCGAATTATGCTTTCATCTTTTAATTGCTTCCACAGCTAATACAGAGACGCATTTTAGCCTTGCTTGAACAAATATCTTCTTTCTGGATGAGGAATCGCCCCTTAAGACATTACTCCTGTACATCAAAGAGTGCAATATGCAAAACTGAAGAGAAAACTATCAATTAGGCTAATTCATAACACGGGGACGTTGCAGTTTGAGACGTATGAGGGTCGAATTACCCTCCGTGTTTATCCTACACGTCTCTTGAGAATAACAATTTGGGTAAATTAGACATCGTTATGCCGCGTAAAGATATCCACTTCACAAATCTTTTAATGCTGTTTTATGTTTAAATTTATTGCTGATAATTACGCCACCAGCACTCAACGCCTTGCTATCTCTGAACGCTGTTGTGTAATGCATGTATATAGGAATTACATATATTTATGCCACTGTCCTGACCATGCTGAATGCTTACCAAAGAGTGCGGTCTGATGTGGGGATAAATTCTGGGTCTCCCAGACAGTTATGATAGATGCATGCCTGTCAAGTAGACTACTGAACCAGACTGACATTAAATACAGATATACAAAATACAAAAAATGTGCAACGATCCAAATGCTGTAATTGTATTCATACATCCTTCTTGAAGTACTGTTTGTAATGTTTTCTAATTGGATCTGTGTTTTCCGGAATAGGAACGTTCTTGACGCAGCTGGTATCAATCCATCCTGTCTCACGAGAATTCAGATTTCTGGACATATTGGACACTAGTTCTTTGAACGTGATAGAAAAGGTAAAATATATATCATCGTAGCCTCCTGTTGATTTGGACTTTAACCACTATATACACATTCGCTGAATCAAATATAGGTGTTTGTTATAGAGTAAATCAATCAATTTGCGACACTAAGAATGTAAATAAAAGCGACAAAAACATTTCCATAACCGTAAGAAATATCATATTAATAAGAAATATCCATTGTCCATTGTACATTTCCGACTATATCAACTGGCATGTGTTTGTGAATCACTACCAAATAGTGATTTTACCAGGCGTTGAAGAAGGGTTGATCGTTTCCCGCCCGGCGGTGGCACCCGTCATAAACACATGCAAAGGTAAGTCAACTGATCATCTGAGTGAGTGAGTGAGTGAGTATGGTTTTACGCCGCTTTTAGCAATATTCTTGCAATATCACGGCGGGGGACACCAGAAATGGGCTTCACACATTGTACCCATGATCATCTGAGACAACACGGGGACATATATAGTACACATGGAAACAGGGAACTTGAAATCGTCTATGCGTCACTTGTTTGTCTAAGAGTGCAATATGCAAAACTGAAGAGAAAACTATAAATTAGGCATTGAGCATATGTTAACTTGTTTTGTCGAACACGACTGATATCGTGTAACACCCTTGTTTTAGTATGAAACGTTTATTATACTATAACTATGAGTGAGTGAGTGAGTTGGGTTTATCGCCGCTTTTAACAGTATTCCAGTTATATCGCGGCGTGTCAGCTTAATGTGGGAGGAAAGCCCGAAATGATGCAGGTCTCAGACGTTTACCACTTCGGTGAAACCCACGAGCACGGGTATGGTGCTGACAAACCTAATAACATAATCGGGGCGAACCGGGATTCGAACCCATGATCCGAACCCATGATCATAGGTTTCTGGCGTGCCCAAGGGACGCAACTCTGCACATCGAATTGCGGCGCCTTGGACGACTGGGCCACCCGTGCCCCCTATAACTATGACATAAATTTAGTAAACCACGGTTGTTATAGTATAACACGTAGCATTTAGACTAGTACTTTAGTCAAACACGGCTGTTTTAGTATCTCAAAGTTATTTTCGCATAACACGGAAGTGATATATCACATTACAGTTTCCATGTACATATTTTACTGATCATGTTTAAAATAACCATACATGTCACTTATTCTCCCATCATCACACATACTCGTGGAAACGAACAAGGTGGCACTGAAACAGGGAGATAAGCTATACTGTCAGTACATTTGAAATAGCGCGCATACAAATGTCACATGCCAGAATCAAATGTTGAGATGTGTTTGTGTGTATTGTTTCCAACGCGTATTTGGTAGACAAGGCTGGGAACACATGATAGCATATTACTTTGCTGTGTGTTCCCTAATTCATTTCAATCAGTATACAGTTAACTACGGTTATAACGAACACGCATATAACGAACTGACCGATATAACGAACATATTTTTCAGTCCCGACCATTTGTTGTATAAATGCTGTATATATGCTTATAACGAACTACGGTTATTACGAACTAAAATTAGTGGCCCCTTCGAGTTCGTTATAACCGTCGTTTACTGTATATACAAAGTATATATTATAGTGGCCACTGTGTTATAAACATATCTAAATACTTTTTGGGTCGTTTATATTTTGTCAATTCTTGTCAATTCAATTACTTTGTTCGACTCTCATGCATCAATGAGCGATTGATATGATCCTCTGCAATATCTATAAAAGTCTGACATAAGGTAACATAGACTACTAAAAAGAAGTTAAGGACCACCCGATTGCTTCATAAAAGTACGGCATGACAGATTAACTATAGTAATCTGAAAGTCAGGTGGTCCTTTACTTCTATATATATTATTCCCATGAGTGGAACGAAAATAAATTTTACTGTCTGTCTGTTTATTTTTGATAGGCATTACTTAGAAGTTGACGGATGACAAAGTAGACCCAATTTATGGATAACAACTTCTTTAATTACTGTAAAGGCGACATTTCGGTATATATCCTTATACCGTTGTCACAAGCAGGACAACGGTATAAGGATCTTTTCCGAAACGTCACTTTTACAGTAATTAAAGAAGTTCTTATCCATAAATTGTCTACTTTGTCTGTCTGTGTGTCTGAAATTATTACCTTGAAAAAAAAGAGTTAAATTTAATTATCTTAATGAAATATAATTAAAAAAAGCCCTGAGACTCTCTTCATGTTCATACATTTCACTGACCCACATTTAAAGACTTATTTGCTGTTGGGATGTCTTTGTTTCATGGTCTCTAAGACAGACTGGAGATCGTGCACTAAGAGAGATTCCGTTCCCCACTGGTAACGTGTCTTCCTGTGTAAATTCCTCCTCAAAATATTCTCACCCTCTCGTGAACACGTGCTTCGGTGCCACGACCTTTTTGGTCCCGCCCTTTTCAGGCCAGTCCTGGTGTTTTGATTTATATGTATGTGTGAGAGAAGAAGGATAATAACACGTTATTTAGAGAATTGCTTACAGGCAACGAGGAATTTCGATTATCTGTCCCGGATGATTTAAGTTTGTGTCATGCCTCGATGAGGGACCTTCGCCATTGATGTACAAGGGGCAGGTAATCCGCAATCACAAGATACGAGTAGGTTAGTTTTTATTTTACCCAGTATCTCCTATAATGAGGGAGTTAAGTGAGTATGGTTTTACGGCGCTTTTAACAATATTCCAGCAATATCACGTTGGGGTACGCCAGAAGTAGGCTTCACCCATTGTACCCATGTAGGGAATCGGACCAGGGTTTTCGGCGTGACGAGCGACCCAAATAATGAAGAGTCTGTGTTCGCATTACAAAGTGAACACTATCTATGTGCGGTTGGGTACCAGCTGGGCGATTAATTTGAAAAACACAAAATATATAATTATGTTCAAGTTAAACCGCTTGAATCGACCCACACTCATTCATATTTTAGAACATGCATAACCTCTACTGTATTTCTTATTTTGTATAAATAATCTCCACATGTATAAACATATGACTAAAATAATGTAAAATAACATAACGTAATGACTTTGAATGTAAATAACAACATAACGCATATTTAAGATATTAATGGTTTAATTACAGTATTAAATTGGGAGAAAGCATACTGGTTTTCTCATAATAATTGCGATATAAGTTAAAAACAAGATTTCTTCATAATATGTCGTAAGAAAGATTGAACAGATTAACTTTAACAACATCGATCTGTGAACAAATTGATTATGCACATAACTGTTAAAACATTGTCACATACATACTTTCCAACAAGAAATCCCTTTCGTATTTAGTATTTACGTAAAACCAATCGCGATTGTTGACGTTACATTGTACCTACATATGTATATACCTATACGTACAGTAAAGACATGTACACGTTTGCCTTAAAAAAGTCATCCATTTATCATTATGACGGTTACCGTGTTTACAGCAAAATAAATATTTCCTCTCTAACATACACTTGTGAACATTTTGCTACATAGTACGAGTAATACTACATATAAGCACAATATACACTAAAGTTCGAGTCTTGACCAAATTTACACAGTGATTCAGATATGTACAAAATCATGACTTCATTTATCAAGTATGTGACTTCAGAGAAACAAATTCCTAAATTACAACAGTGAGTGAGTATGGTTTTACGCCGCTTTTAGCAATAATCCTGCAATATCAGAGCGGGGGACACCAGAAATAGGCTTCACACATTTGAACCCATCTGGGGAATCGAACCCGGTTCTTCGGCGTGAAGAGTGAACGCTTTAACCACTGGGCTACCCCACCGCCCCTTAAATCACCACAGAACGTGACCCATACATTTTGGTCCTAAGGTGCCACTTGCACAAAACGATTTTAGCACTAAGACAGTTGTGACTCCCATAACAAATACGTGCTGTAATTTTAGGGCTAAGGTCTCTCTGCGCAAGTGAGACCAGAATGGACACCCATTGTGGAAGGCGAGGGAACCTCTGAGCAGTACTTAACGTAAGGTACTAAATGGTGTTTCAGGTTAAAAAAGTAGTTAGTATTAAACATATGAAAGTTGACTCATTTAATCACTTACGCCTTATGGAATCAAATAAAAGCTTAATTAACAATTATTCGTGTAGGGTACCAAGATTTAACTGAAATAATTAGCCATATCATATATGAATAAATCATGTCCAGTGTTTGATTACGGTGGGTAGACATGGTATCTCGCTATACAACTATGATATATCTTCATTAAAACAACCTTTCACAGAAATAAGAACCCATAGATTTGTACAATAATATCTTGCAATTAGGTCATTCAAAAATGCTGTTGAGCTGTTTTGTAATTAAATAAAGTAAACCGGTTCCAGTTCATATGGTTTACAAAATACGAAGCCATCTAATTTGCTGTACTGTTGTGCTGTGCTTTACAATGGCACTACGATGTAGACAGTGGCCCAGACATGTATCCATCGTATATTCTAGTTTCATGTAGTCATGGGACAAAACAACATAGAGTCTACATTCTATGACAATGTACATGATAGTTACATTAAATTATGCATCATTCACAAATATTCAGTAGATTACGGAAGCTAAGTTGTCTACACTTAATCATATTCTTGTAATACAGAACGTCTACAACACCGAAACTGTTTAAAGTAAAAGCAACATTTTAAGCAACATTATGAATTTTTCAATCTTATGATGTCTAAAAATAAAATAAATAATAATTTGGAAATACAATCATAAAACACGTACACTTACCATTGTATTAAATAAATATTAAGTTATTTAGAATACAAATATTATCTTGTAATATATAAAATCGTTATCGATTTATTACAGTGGCGTTTGTTATAAAGGTATATTGGGAGACAGCAACTTTTAGTAACCATTAGATACCGAATACAAAACATCTATCCCTTAATTAACATTTCATTCAAGAATTAAATATATTATACATATTTGATTAAGCAAAGATTTTGCCAATAAGACTCTTAGTTAATATTTTATTGTCTTTGTTATTAAAATAACGAAATAAAGACATGTCAAAACGACAAGGAAAGCCTCCACAGGTATAATTACTGTCCAAAGGTTACAAAAACCTATAATTACAATCATATTGATCATATATGTATTGCATGTACACATATATTTATAATCTGAAGTATTTACGACATACAGAGATAAGTATCAGTTAAAAATATTCTAACTGGAGAGACTATAACCTTAACTAACTAGTAAAATCATTTTCAGTTTGTATTCAGATTTCTCATGTAATACCGTATCTAGAGACACATGCAGATTCGTCAAATGTCATCTAATTTCTACTACGCGGTGACAGGTGTTATCATTTATATATAACTGTTTGACGACTTATAGCATGCGGAGAACATTAATATCCTTATTTCACTTTCTTTGGGCAGAGCGCCACATTAGGCATGCACATTCTCTGAACTAGTTTCCACTGCAGTAACTGTGGTGACAGTTGATGATATAGAAAATACCGAGCACCAGAATCATCAGCTGATAGCAGCCATTACTTTAACTAAATGCGGCGAAGACTGTTCCGTGACAAGGGTCATTCCGTAGCAGGGTTATCAAACTGGCCGTCATACATCACGTTGTCAGTGAACCTTCTCGGGCGTCTCTGAGGAAGAGGCTGGTGTTTATCCTCGAAAGAGTCTTGCTGTTGCTCCAACTGGTATCAGCTGCTCAGCAGTAACTGAACAATGCCTAGGTGGTCTGTCACAACTGACAGAACGATGGAGATGAGGAAGACCAAGAACGCCATCCAGTTGCCTCCAACGTGTTTAAGGAACACCAACATATGTTTGAAATATTATTCTTTCATGCGTTTTCGCTGCTTCAAATGTCCCAACTCTGTTCTTCAACTTTTCTGGTGAACTTAGGAAAAACACCGTTGTCCAACTGTTGACAACTGTAGTCCTTGATTATGTTGAACGTAGTTCTACAACTATAACGCAATGTCATCCATTGGTTTCACTGCTGTCGGATCCAGTGATGCCTTTCAACAGTTACAGATAGCTTAAACCATTACTTGCATCGATATCAGATCAGTAATGCCTTTCAATAGTTACAATAAGATGCAACCAACAGCAACATCGATATCAGTCACAGTAATGCATTTTGACAGTTGCTATAGGGTCCAGTCATTGGTAACATCGCTCTCAGTTACAGTAATGCATTTCAACAGTTCGTGTACACTTCTTACATTCTACTCTGCAACACCAGTAAAATTTGCAGTCACAATCATCCCTCTCTTCTTTCACAAGTGTATAATAACCCCTTCCACAACACATCAAACTGCACCCATCAAGAGCGATGCTTGTCTTGTTGCACTTTCTGCCTCGAGTACCCAAAGACCCGGATGCAGGATTAAAGTTACAGAAATCCGGAGACTCCTCTAAATATACAAGATCTCTCTTCGTCGGCCGTTTTTGGTTTTTACTGAGTCGTTTTAATTTCAGTCTGTTTCTGTCCACTCTGACTATACTGGCCCCATCAAAACGTGCTTTGAGGGCTGAGCCTATTTTTCGAAAAGCCTTCATCTTTCGCCAACAGATTTTAACAGAGCACGAACCAGAGACGCCATGACACTTGCAGATAAGTTCCATGTTGTCCTTGATGGTCTGGAAAAGAAAGAAAATATTTTTAAAAACAGATTTACATGTTATCGTTCAGTGGACATCACAAATGATACCTATTTGTATAAGGGTTCAGATATAGTGTAATTATTTATTCTAGGTGTTTCCAGTTCGACTAATGTGTTTCAAGTCTAAAACGATAACCGGAAGCAGTTTCGTTGGGCCTTCATTTTATATATACCGGTTTTCATAGTCTGTCTGGAATCATTATTCAAACTTTCCCTTTCCATAACAAAAAGTACACAACATACATATTTGGACGTAGTTCGTCAAAGAAGTGATACGTAAATACAATTTGGATTTTAAAAGCTAAAGGAAATGTTGAAAAGTACTGTGGATCCTGCCGCACTAAGAGGTCTAAAGCGGCGTTAAACCCACTCACTCACTCTGATAGGTCGGCTCGTAACCCAGATGAAGTGTGGGTTAAAGGGTAACCGCGGTACTGTTACTGCTCAAAGAAAAGTCACCTCACGGACGTGAAAGTTCGCGCAAGATCGTCTTCGAGGTGTAGTTTGTTTTGACTAGTACTGTGCGTAGTTCCTACCTTTCTCCCAGCACCATTGTTCCAGACGTTCATCAGTCCAAAATCCTTCACTTTCAGTTCGTTTGAGTCCACAAACTCCTTCGAGAACCTCTGTCCATATCTGATGTTGTCGGAACATCCTCCCCACTCGAACTTTCCGTCTGTGACCAACTGACGGGTTTTTGTATCACATCCACACTGGTCAAGCTGGCCACGTGCGCAGGCGCGGGTGACGCTGTACATGACTCCGGCCGAAGATATGGCGTAGATGTAGGCTGTCTCGCGACTCTCTGAAAGAAATATCGTAAAATATTAATACACTGAATAATAATCTAAAGACGTGTTTTTGGAATGGATAGCATACATATGTTTTTCAAAATTATCCCCAAAGAGGGTCTGGCTTGGGACATTTTGCGGTCCTGGTGTCTGACATGTTCATGTATATAAAGCAACAAAATCTTATCCATAATCATAAGAAATCTCAAAGTGGAGTCCATTGTACGATTTCGACTACATCATGAGAATGTGTGTTTGTTTGTTGTTTAACGCCGCACTCAGCAATATTCCAGCTATTTGACGGCGGTCTGTAAAATAATTGAGTCTTGACCGGACAATCCAATGATTGATATCATGAGCACCGATCTTCGAAAATGGGATACGATGACATGCATCCAACCAGTCAGCTAGTCTGACCACCCGATCCCGTTAGTCGCCTCTTACGACATGCATATCACTATCAAAAAGTGATGACACCAGGTGTCCGTGAAACAACACATGGGGCCGATTACAAAACGTGTATCCCCGGACTCGAGACATGCAGCTCCCATGACACAATCCCACTCTGAACCCGTGAAGATCCGGGGTAGATAGGTCTTCAGCAACCCATGCTTGGCGTAAAAGGCGACTATGCTTGTCGTAAAAGGCGACTAACGGGATCGGGTGGTAAGGCCCGCTGACTTGGTTGATGCACGTCATCAGTCCTATTTGCGTGGATTGATGCTCATGATGTCAATAACTGGATTGTCTGGTCCAGACTCGATTATTTACAGACCGCCGTCATATAGCTGGAATATTCCTGAGTGCGGCGTTAAACAACAAACCAACCAACCAACCAGCCACTCTGAACATTGTATTAGGTTAAATCGCAGTCAACCCTTTGCCTTTTCAATTTAAACTATCGAATTTCATGCCTTATTATAATTTTCGTTTGGAAAGGCAGCGGTGTATGTCTTTGGTCCTGGTGTTTGAGCTTCAACTGAGAGATCCAAGTCCGATTGTTCACATGGGTTCAATGTGTGAAGTCTATGCCGTGTGTCTCTGCCACGATATGGGTTTTATACTGAGACTAGAGGGGCAGGATAGCTTTTCGCGAACGTCTGGTATCATCACTATCGATATAGTCGGAACCGTCCAATGGACTCTTGTGATTATGGAAATGTTTTTTGGTCGCTTTAGTTACAGTGACTTACAACCCTTCCCACTTAATTTGTGGAGAGGGTCTTGATCGGAGGATAATGTAATCGGTGCTTTTTCCACATGTCTACATTCTACACCAATCTGCAAATACACATCAGGAAAGTCTTTGCTAGTTAAATAAATTAAGGTTCAGCGTAAGCATTTGCACAAAGGCAACACAAAACAACTATGATTGTAAATTCTATTCTTCGAACATCCGTCTGCAACGATTGACATTTCTTTTTAATAAAAGCTGAAAAAGACAAGCAATATACAAAGCCTATTACAAGAAATGTGCAAATGAAACGAGGCAGATAACCCATGTTTGTGAATGTCAGGACCCTACAACCTTTTTCGACAGCATATACCCATCCCATATCACTCCGCACCTGCACCCGACCACTGCTGGAAGAATGTGTACTGTCGCCTCCTCGTCCAATCAACCGCTTTACATAATTCTCCTCGTGTTTGACCCTTGCTACGGCTTTAACCGCTTGACTTAACTCAAACATGTGCATATTTTCCTTTCCCAGTGAGAATGAACGCTCAACTTAATTCACCCTTTCCACCCAACTAACTCGTATGCTAGCATACAGCTGTCCAAACAAACTGTGTTAATAAATCATGTTTGATGTTAAGAGACGCTACGGCTGTCTTTCAGAGATAATTAAACTGTCAAAACACCCAGATCAGCCCAACTCGTCTTGTCCACTCCAGCCGATGTTTCTCGAGATGAAAAGCAGTTGTCGGGAAGATACGTTATAAATGGCTGTTGTTAGCTACTGTTGCGACGAAAACACTATCTGCATCCCTGGGGGGCAACGAAAGACGTGAAATACGTTTACAACAACGCTTTCAACTTCTACAATATTTCACAGCTTTAACGCATTGTGGAATTGTGGATGACTAAATTTTTTATAGTGATCATTATTTCATAATGATTCGTGTTAGCTCTGCATGTCTTCCATTAGCAATAGAAATATATCGCCAACATAATGTTACGTATCAAATCAAGATGGAAACTATTTTCAACATAATGTAAATTAATATGTTTTTAAACATGACTTAACCTATATTTATTTGTATTGCGACTCTGCACTGTTTTAATATGTACTGTGCTTATGGTGAAAACTGGTTGATATCCTTTCAAAAAGAAAGATCAGATTTCGTACGTTTCCCTCCGAACAAGTATTCAAAGTATCGTGTTTCTTAAGAAATTATTTTCATAAATGAAAACCAGTGACACATTGTCATTACTCTCTGGATCCAATAAAGCGAAATAATAACCTAAAATCCGATCCCGACCTGTTGAAGATACCTTTCTTTTTTTCCTGTTTCATATCACAGTGAAGCAAATTGAAGTTAACTTAATGAAAAAGTACCAGTCAATTTTCAACTTGACAGTGATAAACATTATACTTTTTAGGAGAACAGCGCTCGATAAATCAATGGACGTGAAACCCATACTGGCTATTGTCAAGCGCGGCCGCCATACACGCATCTATGCTGAGCGTGCCCCATAACACAATTAGCTGTCGGTTTCCAAGTCAAACTTCATCTCATAACGAAGAGCAATGTCAAAACTTGGCACATCGCTGTTAGATATTGACAGGAACGAAAACTGTTTGCGCGACGTTATCGCGACGATCGCAGTAACGCCGAAGCGAAAGCTTACGTGGTTTCCTCGACTTTCGCAGGAAGAAACGCTTCTCCCCCGCCCCATTGCCCGACCCCATACCCTTCCTGGCACTTTTATGTCGGGATAAGAGGAGATAAGGCAATACACAGAGCCATTGCCACTCACCTTGCCTTGATTTCTAAACATGCAGAATAGTGTTATCTCTTGACATTTCTTTACAGAAGTATGACTTTCAGAGGGCTATGTGAGCACTTTGAATCACAATAAACATTTCTCCTTCTGGTTTTTGAAGCGTTCCTAGCTATTTGTATTAGGTTATATCTTTGCTATTTCTGTTTTAAATGAGCAAATCATCACTTCATGCATATGATGGCCCATAGATAAATAAATCCAAATAAATACGTTACCACTCATAGGGCTATGTTGTCACAACATTTACACAAGATGAGATTCTGTTTTCAAAACGAGAACGTTAATGTGAAAAGGGACATATATCAATATTATAAGTGGTTGGAATAAAAGAAACTATAGATGTGATTAAAATGGTTTAGGCAGTGTGATGGAGCAGGTATGATTTGTTAACTCACAAAAGACATTTGGAAGCAGATAGAAGGAAATTATGCAACGCCGAGCGTCTGCTAACTATTGTCTTAACTCTCCCTAGCCCCTCTCCCTAGTCATTGCCTTAATCCAGACCCCGTGTTAAAACTACTTGTGTTATTCGCATCATAGGGTTATTCACCTTTATGAGCTGTGTAAGGGATGTGAAAGGTTTAATTGGTACAGGGGTTACTGGGAACGTGTTATACAAGGGGGGATTACTCTCATCTAACAGACAGACAACTGTGTATGTTACATACAGTTTCTCTCAACTTACTTGTGCTTAGAACCTGTCCAAAGACGTTGGTGGTGTTGAAGGTGGAGCAGTTCCAACGACGATCTTTAAACTGAAATTGGCATTCTTCAATGCCAACATTGGCTCCCTCGTGAATGACGTCAATGAGTTTCTCTTCCTGGTCGCAGAGCTTTTGCTGCTTGGGTGCCAAGAACTGCAGGTTTGCACATCGCTTCCTTACGGGCACCTCCTGTAGTTCCTCCAGGAGAGTCTGGTAGGAGCTCGTCATGCCAAGGTACCTGGAATCAAGATTTCCACAGTGAATATAACGTTAATGCAAGAGAATAAACAGTCTTGATTATCCGCCCAGATTCCATTTGGCGTAAAGGACAAAGTAGCTATGAATGGACCAATGACAAACAGTGATGAGACAAGGTGTTCGCCAAAATGGTAAGCATTCACATTCATAGTACGTCTGCCATGCGACGGCGGCCTGTAAACAAACCAGACAATCAAGTGATCGATGGACCAGAAAACTCAGTGACATAATAGTGCATTTACTGATTTGAAAACACGAAAAATGTTAGTTTTGAATTAGGCCATGTCACTGAAACTGTAGGGTATTGTTCACCTTGCAGGTTGGGTTGTGAAAGAGAGTGAGTTATATTCACGTTGAACTGTAATGCAATTATACAACGGCGTGTCAGTTTAATGTGGGAAGGAAGCTTGAAATCATTTACCTCTTTGGTGAAATTCATGGTGAAAACCATGGCGCTAACTAATGGAAACCAAGGATCGGATCATACGCATAGGTTACTCTTTTAAGATCCGGGGTAGAATAAGTCTTCAGCAACCCATGCTTGCCGTAAAAGGGGACTATGCTTGTCGTAAGAGCCGACTGACAGGATTGGATGGCCAGGCTCGCCGACCTGGATGCTTCATGTCATCGATCCAAATTGCCTACATCGATGCTCATGATGTCAATCACTTGATTGTTTGGTACAGACTAGATTATTTACAGAACGCCGTCATAAAGCTGGGATATTGCTGAGTGCGGCGTTAAGCAACAAACAAACAAACAAATCAAGCATAGGATCCTGACTCGACCATGGATCCGGACTGGGTAAGTATGAATGCACAGTTTGTTATGAGCTAGAAATGTATAAATGTATCATATATGTTTTGTATGAAAGAAACGCACCGCAATAAGAATTACACTTCCTAAACTTCTAGATTGTATCCCTTCTGCTCTAAACAATGGCATCACAACCATTTCCATAATCAGGAAATCCCTGCTACAAGCAGAATCCTTTATATGATTCCGACAATATCATAAGAAAGGGTTTATGAATCACTATCAAGCAGTGATTATACCAGGTGTTCGCGAAAAGGTGAGCGTATCCCGCCTGCCGTTGGGATCCGTCACAAACACATGGAAAGGCAAGTCAATTGTTCACTTATTGCATCGGAGATGGGTTTTTTTGGCACTGATGTGTCAAATTTGCACACATGCCTACCATAAAACGTTTTGAAAGCTTTACTGAAGCCTTGAATGTTGTAACCTTGATCAAACAAATGTTAAGCAATACGCGTATGACGCTAGCAGTGATTACCCTGGGAACACTGTTGTCCATTTTAACAAGCATTTCACTGCAACAAGTCTATATCTGAAGGCTATATTTATTATTTCCAATGTTTTTTTATTGTACCTATCAATGTGTGTATTACATACCAAGATGTTTTTTAGCCTTATAAAAGAATTACAGGGGATGATAAACCATTGAAATTACTTGGCTTTATTATTATGTATGTTTGTTTTTGATGGAATAATTATATCTAAGAACTTACAAAGCACGTACAGGCTTCCAAGAGACATTCCCCAAACCTAGAAATCTACGAGGCTTGATGAGTTTATGGAGTCTACTAAATGTTTTAAATGCTTTTAATCAAAAACATATGTGCGAAAACAGAAACCTGAAAAGCCTCCCCCAAACTATTCCTAATATGGCGGAAATGCCAACTGGTATTAGTAACGCGTTCGCATGTACGTCTCCGAGATGCTATCGCCACATTTAATAACATGACCTGCTGTAAACCTAATTAATGTCATCGTGTTATCAGTAATTACGTGTTTATGCTGTTTTCGTCACTTTCATACAGATAACTTTTTAGTAGTTACACACACAAAAAACAACAGCACGAATAGCATTGCCCCTTCCTTCAGAAGCCTACAATCCTTCTAGGTTTCCCGTCTTGCACTCGGAGATATGTGATGTATATTTCTTGCCAGTACATGTGAAAAGATAGTATATCGGTCCGTAATAGGAAGGTGACATATTTACAGCTTTTGACATTCCTTCAAGTCACACGCTCAATGTACCTCCGAACCTTGTCTTGGCAATTTTATTGGTGAACATGACCAGAAAACAACCAGCGTGTTATTAATTCCAAACCACCATGGAAATGGAACAAACTCGCATATGACGACTGTCACTGTGAATCGACGGCGAAAGTCCTGAGACAGGTAGTGTTATAATACAGTGCGTGGAAACTATGATCTCTATGTACCCTAAACATAGAAGCATTCTTCTGTGGGCAACATATTTGATGGTGTTCCCGTGAACCAGATTAGCAAGCAATGATGGCTTTGACCTTGTGTGACCTGTTCATTCCTAAGTATGTCGTTTTAATTACATATTGAACAGGTTTTCATTTTGTATGTGTGGCGTACGAGCGATAGTAGGAATCATCCTGAACGTTTCATTTGCACCGAAAGTCTTATCTTGGAGGGGGTCTTAAGGCTGCCATCAAATGTTTAAGGTGTACGAGCTTCTAGAAGGTTAAGAGGATATTAATGCAGGTGAAGATAGAAGCACCTGAACTGCGATATTCACCAACGCTGATGCAATGTTAAGAGGTTATCGCATGCACGTATTTATTGTACAACAAACAGGTTAGTTCGAACAACAAATATGTAATTGCAAGGTTTGATTGTACAGATTACTCCACAACAGAGCATTTCTACAGGCCGCATTCCTTCCCCTGTATTGACCAGAGGTTGATGCGACCAGACAATGTAATCCCAGTAAATCCTGCCTTGCGGAGCACAGCACCTTTGATGTGAGGCTGGAGAGATATAATTTCACCTTCTCCTCACCTAATCCAATTTGTCTAAGACAACAGTATGTTCTCTGGAGTACCTCAGCCGAGCAATTCCATTGCAGTGAACATACCCGCGGATCTTTTTTTCCAATATGATATTTACCTCGAAACACATCTGTGCTGTACATGTTTAAATTGTCTCTTGAACTTCTCGGAAATCAATTAAATATTTTTAAAAATACGAAAAAAACCACATAATTAGAACCATTTCTGGGTTGGCCAATCCAAGAAGATGGAGAAACCTATAGATACTGAATAAAATGGATCGCTGCCGGTTTTTTAACCTTGCATTCGTTTCAAGAAACTGTCAATTTATAAGGGATTTCATGTTCAATGCAAGAAATTTTACAAAAATGAGATCGCATTTTTGTGGAAACCTAAGAAAAATACAAATCTCGGAATTCCGATGTATCGGTGCAGAAAACATTCCGATGTGTCCCAACCTGCCTTGGAGCAGTTGTATAGCCTTGTGTTCTGTGTTAAAGTAAATGTAGCCATATATCGTGTACACCTGACGTATTTCATGATCCAGTAGGCCCAGTGTGCATCTCATCTGGATGCCTCTTCTACCTGGAGGGAAGATTAACGCCCTATAATCCTCACTTGACAGTTCGCTACAGCATATGACACTAGGAAGTCTCTAGTCGCCACTATCAGACAAGGAATCGGGGACCTATATGACTCTTGTCGCATCCCCTTCTTCAGCGCCTCTTGATGATGGATGGGGAATTGTTCGTGGACCACGGCATGATTGATAGTAGGTGTGATGGAGCTTGACGTGGGTATTATAAACAGGTTTTAACTTTTTATGCAAATGCTTTTTGGGGGGACCTGACAAGTGTAAGATAATACCTGTAGTCGTTTAACCGAAAGGGGTGAGATGTGTCAAAACATAGCCGCTTGGGTGATTCGTGACGGCAGCAGCCGGGATGCAGATGACACGATAGCCCCTGGATAGGTTATGACTACAGTGTCATAATTACACAGATAACATCAAAATCATAACAGGTGAATCACCATACCACACACGCTTGATACAATGCTATCACATACCGCTAAAGCCATATCTTCGATGGTGAGCTTTGTACTTGGATATAATAAATAACTTGAAGGATTCCTGGGTGAGTTTTCATGGGCGGTGTAGTAATCAGTGAAACATCACAACGAACTATTTGATTCATCTAGGAAAATAACCTTCCGCTTCCCCCAAAAAGAAGCCATACAACTAAACGTAGACACTGAAACGACAGTCAGCAAGACCACATACCTTCATCCGGGTTATATTCCCCGGATGTCTCAACTTTCGTAAATGACATGCGCAGTGTTATCTGAGCATCGTCGTTACCTGCCCAGATGCTGAAGATACCAAGATACGTTAATGATAGTATTCCATCTTACAACAACACACACATAATGATTACCTAGGGGAGGCTTCTAGTTTTTTCTGGCATATTGACAACCCCAGATGGTATCATTTTTCAGGCTTGTTCATCCCAGCTGCCATACTAGGAGATATAATCGCATGCTTCATAATTGCAGTTGGACGATGGATTTCAGTGCCGAACCTCCGGAGACAAAAAACATGTGACTATGACACCCCATGTTTTTCACACTTGTCTTGTCGCCGACGCTCTCATTAATCACACGTTTCATTTAAAGTTATCGCCCGTAGAAGCATGTGTCGTGCCATAGCTTATGTCGTTGCTGGGGGAACATATGTTAGAAATTCATCACCCATCTTAATGAGTAATAGTCGTATTGGTACACAGATAGGCCTGACCGTATGGTTTTCACCAGTGTTTTAACTTTAGAATCAGTTTCGGCAGATGATCGAGACTGATTGTTGATGATGTGTTTTGGAAAGATTATGGAAAATGTTTGGTCGCCATTTTTATATAGAATGTACATAATGGGTTTAATCGGAGATGGTTCTCTCAATTTGGTGAAATATTCCGATTCACTTATGCAAATAAAGTATTTTTGAACTTAGTTAAAGATAATCAGATATTACAAAACACAATGGCCTGACGCTGTCTTATCCACATAATCACAAAAGTAACAAAGTACTGGCGATTTTATAACGAACAGGTAAAAAATAAGCTGCTGCCCAAAATATTGTTTGTATCTTGGGATAAAA